CTTTATTGTTGATTGTCCCCTTGTTATTTTTTGTTATATTTGTACTCAAATAAGAAAAAAAAAATAAGAAAGAATAATCATATTTATTAAGATGCTTTCTTTTTTTTTTGTAGATCATATCTGTTTTTTTTCTTATTTTGTTCATGTTATTATTGTTTCAATTATTAGAATTATTCATTTATAATCAACGAACTATTTCAATATCTTGTCATTCTCTTGTTTAATATCGAATGGCTCAAAGCAATTGTTAAAAAAAAAGATACAAAATAATAAATTTATTTATATAGTTCAAATTCAAAAATTCAAAATTAAAAGTTAAACAATGACATCGAAAAAACAGAAAAAAGGCAAAACTATACCATTGACAGATTTTCTTGCTGCTGAATCAAAATTAGTTACTGTTCGAGCAACAAATTGGTCAGAAATAGTTGATAGTGAAGAAGCAGAAGTAAAACCTATTGGTAACAAAATTAATAAATTAAATTCAAAACACAAAGAAAAAAAAAATTTATTTTTCTTTTCTAGTTGTTGACATTGGTATTTTACCAACAGCTCCTCGTAGTGCTCATGATTTTGATTTTAGTACTGTACCAACTAATCCTCCATTTGTTGCACATGTTGCTAATCTATCATTTGAAGTTGATGATGAAGGTCTAAGAAGAATATTTGCTGATTTAAATGTATGATAATTCTTAATTTTATTCTTCTATATTTGTTTGATTTGTTTTTTTCTTTTATTTAGCCAAAAACTGCTCGAGTAATACGAGATGGTATACGTAGTCGAGGTATTGGTTTAGTTGAATTTGAAACACGTGATAATTTAATTGAAGGATTGAAAAGATCCGATAAAGAAGTCTATGGACGTAAAATACGTATTAATATTTCGGATAAACCTGATTTACATAGTGATAGTGGACGAGGAACATTTGGTAATAATCGATCGAATCGTGGTGGTGGTGAAGAACGACCAGAAATGGCTGATAGATGGAAAAGAGCTGAACGTAAATATTGAATTTTTTTATAAAACATGATCTAAAACGAGTGTTGAAATATGGAGAGTAAAAATTTGGACTCACAGACACCTAACGACAGAACTTCTTCAGTTATCCCCTTCCGATTTCAATGATTTTTTACTTATAGATACTACGTAGTGTCCTAATAAAAGTCCTAAAAGATTTTAGGTTTCTATGTAGATTTGGCTAAGATATCGAAATTTTTAATAGGTCTATTTTCTAGAAACTCTCGATTTTCGAAAAACTCGTATTATAAAATATCGATCTGAAACTTTGCACATAGAAAGAACTCAACTAGATTAGAATTCATAAAAATAATTCATAAGTTTTGAACAAAGTCTTTTCGATATATGAAACTTTCAAAAAATGCATGTTGTATACGCTATCCACGGGAAAAGAGTCTATCTCTTGAAAGTCTTATATCTCAAAGAGACTTAATTAAAAATTTGTGAATATTTTTATAGAAATTAGTCTAGTTGGATTCTTTATATGCTCAAAGTTTCAGATCAAAATTTGGTAGCTTAGTCAAATCTCAATAGCAATCTAAACCCTTTTAAGATTTTTATTAGGACACTCTGTTGTATCTATGGGCAAAAACCTATTGAAATTGGGAAGAGACAACTGAAGAAATTTCCTAATTAGTAGCGTCCCACTTCGTGTAACAGACTGTATATCAATAACGTCTCGTTATAATATATAAACTACTTCCTTATGGCATTTCTGGAGAAGAATGATGAAGAAATGTATCCCAAAATAGATTGAATAAAATATTTTCCCTATAATTAGCAAAAACAGCTACATCATGTTTCACATTTTAATCTTATAAGGATTGCACTAACAGCTTTCTTTAAAAAAAAGACACTGAAAAATTCTTTTAGCCCGACCCGATGACACATCTGATGATCGTCCAAGTGGTGGGTTTAATCGTGATAGACAAAATCGTGGTGATCATGGGCGACGTAAGTTATTTTGTATATTATTTCGAAGAAATAAAAATATTTTTTTTTTTTTTCTAAAGCGAGTATGGGTAATACTTCACGAGATGGTCAACATGGCAATGATTATGGATTTGGTTATCCACGTACGAGAGATGATCGTGGAAGTGGAGGTGGAGGTGGTGGTAATCGTGATTATAATCGACAAGGACAACGTAATCGTTATCAAGATGATACTAATCGACCGAGTGGTGGAGGCGATAGACCTCATTATGCAGGTCGATATAGTGATACACGGTAAAATATTATTTAAAAAAAAAGAATCTTTTTTTTTTTATTTAAAAATTTATTTTAGTGATACACGTGATCGAAAGGCTGCGAATGGTATTGAATTCTTTTTGTTTTTTTTACTAATTCTTTTTTTTTTAATGTCTGAATAAAATTAGATGATACTCGTGATGATCAACGAGAACCACCACGTGAACGTCAACGACTTCAACTTCAACCACGTACAAAACCAGTTGAAGAAAATCAACCATTATCCGGTTCATCATCATCTATTAATAATATTGGTCAATCATCAATATCAAATCCAGATGAATCACCATCACCAATAACAAATAAACCTACTCAACAAATAGAAGATTCATCATTAAATGAAAATCCCGATGAAAATCAAGAACAAGAATCACGAGATTCAAATGATAATACTTCTCGAGTTAATACATCCGATGAACAATCAACAGTAAAACCAGCACGTGGTGCTGGTGCTTCTATATTTGGTGGAGCTAAACCGGTGGATACAACTGCTAGAGAACTTGAAATTGAAAGAAAAATGAAAGAATTTCAAATGACTGCAAGTGAAACATCGGCTGATAATGAAGATAAAGGAACTTCATCTAGGTAATTTATATTTATCATTTTTCTCGTAATTATCATTGAATTTTTCTTTTATTTTTTATTTAGGCCATCACATAATCGTGGTAGTGAACGAGACGCTTATCGTGGTAAACGGTCATCACAAAATGATGAGGGTTAGAGAAATTTAATTTTTTTTTTCTTGAATAAATTCAAAAAAATATTTTCTGTTAATTTTATTCAGGTCGATCTGGTCATGGTGCCGATTACCATCACAAACGAGAATTTAGTGGTATATATTTAAAAAGATTCTTTTTTTTTTATAAACTTTTTTATATATTTGTTTTTTAATTATAGGTGGACGACAGTATGAGGATGAGGGTCGAAAACGTAATGATGATCATCGTCGTGGTGGTGATGGTGGTGGTGGTGGTGGTCATGATAGAGATCGTTATGGTGGTGATGGTGGTGGTGGTGGTCATGATCGAGATCGTTATGGTGGTGATGGTGGTGGTGGTGGTCATGATAGAGATCGTTATGGTGGTCATGATCGAGATCGTTATGGTGGTCCATCTCGACGTGATAATGAATCTGGCCGTAAAGGCAAATATAATCATCACAATCAATCAGAACGAGGTATCGAATAAAATTGATTTTCTTTTTTAGTATAATTTATATTTAGATAATGAACGTGGTAATTATCGACCTCGTGATCGTGATGATCGTAATCAGGATACAAGTGAACATAATAATCCTGGTCGTTCATCAAATAATAATTTTAATACTGAATCACAATCTAGAAATCAACAACGGTAAAATTTTTGTTAAAGAAATCTTCATTCTCGATTCTATGTTTTTTATTTTCTAGAGGAACAACACGGCGGACAGTTCAAACTGAAGATGCTTCACATAAAGTATAAATAAATATTTTTTTTTCTTAATTAATAGAATTGAATTATATGATTTAGCTTCAATTGTCGAATAAATTTGGTATGCTTGACGATGATGATCCAGATAATAATAAGGATGAAAATGATGATGTTCGAAGTCCAAATATTGATGGATAAACATCTAACATTCACGATTTTCCTTTTTTTTTTCGTTTACTTAGTGTTGATTTATCGAGAGACAATCAGAAAAAAGAGAATCAACATATAACCAGAGAGAGAGAGAGAACATTTACCTTATAATTCTACAAGTTTGGTTTTCTTTATTTTCATTTCTTTATTTACATGGGTTTTCGGGTGGTTTGTTGGATTTTTATGCCTTTGGTATAAACGTGGATGATGAATTTTTTTTTCTTTCATTTGTTTTTTTTTGTTTGTTTGTTATCGTTATAACCTTTATTATGCCTCTCTCTCTCTCTCTTATTTTTTTGCTTTCACAAGGAAAATTTTTTGTTGTTGTTGTTGATTGATGATCCATTCATCGTCTTCGTTTTTTTTTCACCATTATTCAAATAAACAAAATAAAAGTTGATTATATTCTTTGTTACATTTTGTGTTTCTAGATTATTATATATATTTATATATATATTGATTTTTGGTTCGATGTTATAAATTATGTAAGTATATAATATTAAAATCTATAGAGAGAAAATATAAATTTTTAATTTTATTGAAGATCGTATTTGGTCGATTTGTGCATTTATTTTTGTTTATATTTATAATTTCAACGGCAAGAGCTTTTTCGTTATATTTATATATTTTGTTTCGCTTTGTTTTTTTTTACGATGTTATTATAATAATCAATTAGATACAAAAAAGAAAAACTAGGAATATAATTTATTCAAATGGTTTATATATGTGTTGTTGTTTGAAAAACTATTTATTTCCTTTGTTATTTATATAATAAGAAGTCTTCTGTTGTTGTTCTTATATTGATTTGTCTATATACATATATATCTATATCTATATCTATATATTTCTTATTCTAATGATGAGAATTAAATATTTTCATATACGAGGTAAAGTAGATAATTAAACACGTCAAATAAAAAAAACCACTGTGTGTGTGTGTGTGTGTGTTGCTGCTTGATAAAAGACAGACTTGATTTTTTTTGTTATTGATCAACTGACAATTAAAATACAACTGGCTTTTAGTTTTAGTATAAGTAAATTTTTTTTTTTGTTTTTTTTTAAAATTTTTTAGAGTCCGCTCTGCTTTTCCATCAATATCAATTTGATAACGGCTGATGGAAACAAGAACGTCACGTGTACATTCATCTTCATCATCATTGTCACGTTCTCGTTCACCAATATCAAATAGTGAAAAACGTAGTGTTTCAACATCACCAAGACGAGGACCATCAACACCAGTTAAATCTTTAATAGAAAGAAATGATAATAATAATGAACAAGATCCAAATGATCGTGAACTTTTATCATTCGATGATGATTCTAAAGCAATAGTTGATGAGAGGTCATCACCAATAATGTCAGATATTGATCAAAGTCATCAAAAAAAGCGATCACGTCATCGACATCACCATCATCATCATCATCGTAAACATTCGAAATCAAATAAGCGTTCAGCAACACAATATCATCGACATTCAGTTAAAAGAAGGTATTTATTTAACTTAAAATTTTCTATTAAATTATAAGATGGTAGAAAAAACATTTAACAACAATATATTTTTTATTTTTCTCTGATGTTAATCAATTAACTCAAATCCTGATCGTGATTTTACTACCCAATGCAGTTTTTCTCTAATGCATTCTATAGCAAGATTCCATAGATGAACTATGATGGCAAGTTTTCTAAAAAACCGAACATGGTAGTTTTCAAGTCTCAGAAGACTATTTTTTAACAATGCCGTTTCAAAGAGAACAAAATGAGAGATTGTCGCACTTTCTATGACCTTCTCTTAAAATGTTAAAAGTATCATAAAAACCGAAAAAAGGCATTTTTCAATCGATCTTTTGATAAATTTCCTTATTTTAAGGTTTTTGTGATACTGTTAACTTTTTAAGAGAAGGTTGTAGAAAGTATGGCAACTTCTCATTTTGTTCTATTTAAAAAAGCATTGTTAAAAAAACAGCCTTTTGGGATCTAACAACTACCGTATCCAATTTTCTAGAAACTTTGCCATCATCGTTCATCTATGAAATCTTGCTATACAGGATAAAAAAGTCACCGGATAGTTTCTGAGTGCAAATAACTTTTGATAGAAACGAGAAAGAGAGCTGTAGTTTTCAACGTTGAAAAGGAGACTTGGAACATCGAAACATTGAACTTTCGAAAACCTCATTTTTCTAGGCATCTTGGTTTTTTCAAAACTCTCCTAAAACTCTTTCTAAATATTATGTTTCTTACATGATTCGATGTTTCCGAGTCTCCTGTTTACAACGGTGAAAACTGCTCAGTGACTTTTGGATCGCTCTATAAAGTATTTTAGAAAAAAAAATCAAAAATAAGTTGTTGTTAAATTTTTTCCCATCATCTTATATTTGTGTAAATTTGTTTTTTTTCTATTTTAAGTAAAAAAGAAACAGTATCAACCGTACATCGGAATAAATCGAATGATGAAAATGTTATTAGTTCACCAGAAAAAAATACAAGTGAAAGCCAACCATCCCAATCAGAACAAGAAATCTCATCATCAAATGATGAATCAAATGATGAAGAAGGAATTGTTGAAGGTAAATTTTAATTATTTATTAGATTATAATAAAAATTTGTATTGACATATCGAATTCTATCTTATTTATTATTATTAATAAAGTGCTAGCAATTCGAAATTGAAGCGAAATTTTTTTTGTTGGCGTGGTTAGATAGAATTCGTCGAGTTACCTATAAAATGTTGTTTTTAGCATATTCAAACGATGTTTTTGTAATGAAAATTAGGTTAAATTCAATCAGAAAAATCCATAAAAATTGAATCACACCAAAAGCATCAAGTTTCAAGCTTTATCTAAACTTTGCTTGTTGAAAAATACCGTTTGATTATTGAGAAAGTCGATTTTTTTTCATGATAACAAAACGTCATGAATACGGATTTGTATTTTAAGATTTTGATCATCAGTTTCAAATGAAACGAATATCATATTCAGAATTAGTGCACAGAATATTACACTCAAAGTTAAATTTCGGTTTTTATACGCCTTCGCTGCTGTTTTCGAATATTCTGAGTATACTGTTTTTTTTTGCGCTGGTTCTGAATGTGATATTCATTTCTTTTAAAACTAATCGTCACAATCTTTGAATACAAACTCATACTTATGGCGCTTTACTATCATATCGAAAAAATTGATTTTCTCAATAATCAAACAATATTTTTCAAAAAACATACATTATTTTTGGACTCTATGTATAAGATAAATTCCAGTGAGATATAAACGATCTCAGAAGGATAAGTGCCCTTAGGCCTTTCTTCTAATGTTATAGACATTTTACTGGAATTCCACGCTATAGCACGATATGTACCAACAAATTGAATGATAGTATTTCGCCTACAGATAGATCTATCCATGGGCGAAATTTCTAATCGCATTACTATCATTCAATTTGTTGTCACATATCGTGTCATAGCCTAAAACTTTAGTAAAATACCTATAACTCTGGAAAAAAAGATAATTGATCAGCTGAAACAGTTCCCTCGTAAAACTTGACGTTTTTGATATGTTTCAATTTTTATACACTTTTCTGATACTTTTTTAAATCTGAGTTTCACTACAACAACATCGTTTGAATATGCTAAAAATAAAATTTTAGGTAACTCGACGCGGTTTATCCAACAGAGATGGCATCGATTTGATTCCGCAAAAATGCGAATTGATCCCATCTCTGCTATTCAACTATGCTAAAAGATAAGAATTTTGCCCAAATTTCGAATTGCCGATAATTTACTAAAATAATTTTGTATAATATATGTGTATTTATTTATTGTTTTTCTTCTTCTAGGTGATAGTACACCGAATGAACGTCATAGTCGTCATCATCGTAAAAAACATCGTTCATCATCAAATAATGAAAAAAATAGTCAAAGTCCTCAATCATCATCGTTTCCTATACCTAAAAATAATAAAGGTACACAATTAATAGTCAATTATTTACCAGCATCATTACGTGAATCTGATTTTTATCAATTATTTGCTCGTATTGCACCAATTAAATTATGTAAATTAATAACTGATCGTTATACAGGTCAATCATATTGTTATGGTTTTATTGAATATCATACAAAAGAAGATGCTACAAAAGCTATTGAAAAATATAATGGATATAGAGTTGAACATAAAAAATTAAAAGTTTCATATGCTCAACCAAAATCAAATAATAATTATGATTTAGATAATGTTCAACATATGAATTTATCATCATCATCATCAATACAAAAAAATCCTAATATATATATAACTGATTTACCAGATGATTTTGATGAAAAAATGTTAGAACGTCTTTTTTCAAAATATGGTGAAATTGTTCAAACGAAAGTTTTACGTGATCCGCGTACAAGAATATCACGTGGTGTTGCATTTGTTCTTATGACATCAACACGTTATGCTGAACGAGCTGTTAAAGCACTTGATGGTTATGTACCATCAGGTTCGCATATACCGATATCTGTTAAATATGCTGATCTCAAAAAAACCGTAGCAGCAGCTGCAGGAAATAATGGTAACATGAGTTCATCATCTCGTTTATCAAGTTCATCATCAATGACACCAACTATTGGATCATACGGATATCCACCTGGATTACCACAATTGAGTATGATTGATCCATATTATGCAGCAGCTCTTCATCATCATCATCGAGCAGCAATAAACATGTTCGTAAAAGTTTTTTTTTTTTTTTTGTATCAAATACGATCTGAAAAGAGTGTTGAAAGTGAAAATTTGGATTCCTTGTCTTCCACAGGATGCATCCAGGCGAACGTTAGGTGAAAAAAGACGCATAGTAAACTTTTCATCAATTCAAATCGTAATAAATATACTTCAAGACATGCCTTATCTACTGGTGTAACAAACTTTTCTTACGAATGCCAAGTAAAGTGGAAAGCCTGTCAATCAAAACTTAGCTTGAAAACACACCTGTCATTAGAAAAGTTAAGTTTTTGCATAAGACTCAACCGATCAGTAGGCAAAAACAGCACATATTTTGAGTTGGCTCTACGTTCTCTATGGATTTGTAAAAAAATGAATTTAAATTTGAGCTAATAAATGTTTAAAGAAAAGTGAAAATATTTCAGTAGTAATTTTTCAAATGGCTGAATTTAGTAAAATGAGTTCGACATTTTCAGTCATGATTTAGATTCGCTCAAACCTTGTCAAATTATTCGTCTATCTAACCTCTATCAACAAAGCTGACACAAACATTTCTAGACTTAGATATGAGATTTTCAAGAAACCAAAGTTTTCTGGGATAGTTTCCATTTTTTCTGCTGCAAAAAGATTTTCATTGTAAAATAATGGTATATTCAGAATGAGCACGCGAAACTATATTGGATGATGTACAGCACAAGATAATATCTTGTATCCAAACAATTTTCGCGAAAAAATTTACGTGAGGGTACTCTTCAAATATTTTTCTTCAGAAAATTCTTTTTCTTAATCGTATGTAATTAGTTCTAAGTATAGATATACGGAACCAAAAAATAAAACTTTATCGGGACTGAAATTCAAGTCTATAGTAACACACTCTACGGTTTTAAACAAATTATCTTACAAATCATATGAATCAGAGCATAATTCAAGAGAGATGACCTAAAAGTGTACTATTCGTCAACCTAATAAATAAAAAAAAACAAGTATTGAAGAATTATTTTAGATATGATGTAAATAAATTCTCGAATAGTTTTCGTTAGAGTGGAACGACTAGAAAAGAAGCTACTGAAACTATGACCGGGGTAAAAAAAAACTTGGCTCCGCAGATCTCTAATTCTGAACAAAAGAAAGTTATTCCCGATAAAGAAGTTACATGTCCGTCTGCAATGCAAAAAAACGCACTGTGTACCCCTTCTTCATGTCAGAGGTGTTGATATACGATCCCAGACTGGATATTAATAACGTCTCGTTATAGTATATAAACTACTTTCTTATTGCATTTCAGGGGAAGGACGGTGAAGAACTATGTCCCAAAATTGATAGAATAAAATAATCTCCTTGTGATGAACAACAGCAACTACAGCTTATTTCACATTTTAATCCCGCAGGAATTGTGCTAATAGCTTTTCTTAAACTCTTTATATTATTCGTTTTAACTAAAAATTGAAATTGTGCTCGGAAATAAATAATAGGTTTCTTTTTCTTTTTAGGAGAGATTTAAGCCCATCACCGCCACCACCACCACCACCACCACCTCTACAATCATATTATAGTAGTGGATCTAATCGTTCTTCTCGAATGCGTGGTTCATCACCAAATTTACCACGTTCATATTCATCATCATCATCAAAACATAATTCAAATATTCTAACAACACGTATGAATAAATCATATTCATTAAATAAAAATTCATCTGTTTTTCTTTTGTTTTAAAGCAAGTAATCTTAATACATCATCAACACTTGCTGCTGCTTATGATCTTATAGCTAAAGGTTGTCAACAAGCTATTGATCCAAATGGTTTTGTAATATATGCATTTGGTTTACCACATGATTGTGATGAAAATGATTTAGAAGAATTATTTCGCCGTTATGGTGAAGTTTATCGTGTATATATTGTAAGAAATTATACAACAGGTGAATCAAAAGGATATTCATTTATAACAATGCGTTATTATGATGACGCATGTCATGCTGTTGATCGTCTTGATGGTACAACATTTCAAGGTAGAACAATTCAAGTACGATTTAAGCAATAAATATCAATTTATTTCTATGAAAAAGAATTTTTGTTTTTTGCTTTTGCTTTTGTTTACTAACAAAAATCTATTGATTGAAATTCGAAGTTCATTTATGAGGATGTTTTTTTTTTCTTTTCTTTTGTTTTTTGACACCGTTGATCTTTATTTGTTGTATTATTTGTGTGTTAAAAAAAAAATAATAAGTTTAGACGAATTAAACAAATAATATTTCAATATTTTAGATCAAATTTTCAGACATTCGATTGTTTTTTTTTCGTCTATTTCCTCTCTTTTCTTTTCTTTTGTTGGCATCAACCGTCAATTTATATTATTCTCAATTTTACATTAAAGGTAAATCATTATTTTATAGAAATAGAAAATTCATTTATATTAATTGTATTATTGCCTTTTTCTTTTTGTTATAAAGATCTATGTAGCAAATACTTGTTTATTTGATTTTCGTGAAATATTTGTTACCGGTAATAATAATAGTAGTACGACATTAACAAATTTGTGTATTTAATTGATAATTTATAATTCAACGAGAAGAATAAATATTTATGATGAATAATAGCAATAATATTGCTGCAACAGCTAGTACAATATCACAATTATTAAATGGATTCGAACATGATGATTCGAATAGTTCAGCATCTGCTGGTGCTATTGACGATGTTTCAAGTATAATGAGAAATCCTTGGGATCCATTCCATTGCGCTGACTGGGATATGCAACAACCAAGTGCGACTTGTTTAGCACGAATTAAACGGTAAATAAAAATTTTTCTTTGTAATAAAAACTAAATTTAAAAAATTTGATTTTTTTTTTATTAATTAGTGATATATGGAGTGTATTTAAAGATCCTCCACCAGGTATGTTTATTGCACCGGATCCTGATAATATCACTAAAGTATGTTATCATAATTTCTAATTTATTCATTTAAATTTATAAAATATTTTGTAGATTCATGCTTTGATTGTTGGTCCATTCGATACACCATACGAAGGTAGAATATCAAAAAAACAAATGTTAAGTATCTTTTATGACGTTTTCTTTCTTTGTTTAGGTGGATTTTTTTATTTTCTCATTCGTTGTCCACCTGATTAGTACGTATAAAACAGTTTAATAATTAAATAACGAGTGAACTAGAATAAATGTTCTTCTAAGTATGTTTTCAATATCGCTGTCAAGGTGCACCGACATGCTTTAATCTTTTTGTTTTAGAATTTTTTTCCAGCCTTGTGAAAATATAACAATGTAGAAGAGTACATTTAGACGTATAACTAACGAAAGAAGTCCTCCAATTAATAAATCACTTTTGACTCGAGACTACATGCTTTATGTAGACTTAAATGATCTATGAATATATTAAAAAGAGTTCGTAGCCTTAGCTCATTGCTGTAGATATATTGTACTTTTACGATAGCTTTTATATGAATGTTGTCATAACAGAAAAACTAGTTTTCGAATATCGACTTAAAACACGTTTTAGTTTTTTGTGAATATTTGAGATCTTGTCGTAGTTCCTCTACTAAGATACAACTGTGTTAATAGCGTGTCTTTTGTACCGCTCATATCAACCGGCAGATTTGATGTTATTATTTCAAGATAGAAGCAAATCAAAAGATTTAAAACTTTCACAATAAATTATATCTCGTTAAGATCTGCCTGCTTGCAAAGTATCAAGTCGAAATTCGAAAATCAGTTTTTCTGTTACTACGACATTCATTTAAAAGCTATCATAAAAGTGCAGTATCTCCGCAGCAATACTCTAAGAGCATGAATTTTTGTACGAGTATTCATAACTCATTTGAGTCTAAATATAATGCGCATAGTTCTGAGTCAAAAGTGATTTATTAGTTGGAGGACTTCTCTCATTAATTATACACCTAAACGTACTCTGTTACATTGTTATATTTTTACAAAACTAGAAAAAAATTCTAAAACAAAAAGATTAAAGCATAAGAATAAATCTTGACAGCATTATTGAAAACATACTTAGAAGAATATTTATTCTGGCTCATTCGTTATGTAAATCTATTTTTTTTTCTTTTAAATTAAAGTCCTATCCGAGCACCTCGTTGTCGTTTAATGACTACCGGAAATAATACAGTTCGTTTCAATCCAAATCTTTATCGTAATGGTAAAGTTTGTTTATCTATTCTTGGGTATGTTTTTTTCTTTTATGTATCTATAAAAAAAAATATCGAATATTGATTTTAATTGTGTTTTTTTCTCAGTACATGGAGTGGTCCATCATGGTCTCCAGCTCAATGTATATCATCATTACTTATTTCTATTCAATCACTAATGTCGGAAAAACCATATCATAATGAACCCGGTTTTGAACATGTATATTTTTGTTTTGTGTAAAAATACTAAATTCTTATAATAGAATTTTTTTGTTTTTTTCAAATATAGGAACGTACATCAGGTGATTCAAAAACATATAATGAAATAATAAAACATGAAACATTACGTGTTGCTGTATGTGAAATGCTTGAAAATGAAAATTCATGTCCACAACAATTACGGTAAAAAATTTTCTATAATAAAAAAAAAACAAAAATGAACAGATCAATTTGTGTTTTTTTTTCTTTAGAGAAGTAATGATCAAACAATTTTTTGATTTCTATGATTATTATGTTGAAGTATGTACAGAAAATTCAAATAAAGATGGACAACAAATGATGGTAAAAATTATTTTATATATATCATATTTATGTTTATTTATTAAAATTTCAGGATCCATTTGGTGATCGTCGTGGTCTATTTGAATATGGATCAATATTACAACGTTTAAAAAAATTAAAAGCAAGATTTGAATTATTACAAAGCACAAATAATAATAATGCATGTTCATCACGTTCATCATCAATATCAAAACATCAACATATTGATGCACGTACTCGTGAAATAATGAATGATGCTGCGGCACTTGATCCAAATCCAACATCAAATGATCCTACAAATCTTGATGATATATTTGATCATGAAGATGATGAACCAGATTCATCAATGGATGACGATGATGATGATGATGATAATAATAATCATGAACAACAATTAAAAGATTCTGAGTCAATACCAACTATTCAAAATGCTGAACAGTCGAAAGAAAAAAGTTCAACATGATAAGAAAATAAAAGTTTTTTTTTCGTTTATGTATATTTATGATTTCTAATTAACTAACATTTATTTAATGATGTCATCGTTTATAATTATCAGCATGAATGATCATTGATCATACCTTTTAATATTCTTTTCTCCTGTTTCATTTTTGTCTCATATATATATATATATATATTTCTATCTCGTCGTCATTTCGTCAAAAATAACAAAAAAAGAAAAGGAGGTTTGTTTTTCTTCTTATTTGTATAATATTATCTTTAAACAAAAAAAAACAACACGAATCAAACACAAGTTCAGAACGTAGTTTCTTTTATTGATATTATCTTTTCGACAAAAAAGAAGAATTATTTGTATGATTGTCATTTCAATTATTTGAAAACAAATAGAAGATCCATAGTAATGATAAATATTTTAAATTCAGTATAGTTCTTTAGTCTCAAGTTTAGGTTGAGGAATGACTTGTTTAATCATTTCTTCTGAAAAAGAATTCATATTATTTTACCATCTTATATATTTACTAGAAGACACGTAGACTAAGCCACTTCTCAAAATGGAAGGACCACATATTAGAAGTTTCCTCTAGAAGGATCAATGTAAAATAACGTTTTAGAAACCTTAGGAGTCCTGTTGTGCCCAGACAATTACAGTTTTTCGAGCAAAGCTTTGCAGATACTATTAAATTAGTTTTAATCAGGCGTCGTCTGCATATAAAAAATATTTCACTTTAATCATTAAGTTCAGAAGTGCTGTTAACGATATTTGTGTTTAATAAAAGTTATTCAACGTTATCGTCTTCTTTTTTGTCGACTTCTCTATGATTCTTTGTATTTTTAATATAATGTATAGATTCCTTTGACAAAGGGTCATTGTCAATAAATTGTTCTCAACATCTATGAGTAAGTTATACTTCTTTTTCTGATCATCTCTCATCAGATAGCCGTCATGCTTAACACCATCGCTAATGAATATTCAGTTTGTAAATCGATATTGACAAACGATAATTACTTAAGAAATATATAGTAGTGATATTTTTAAAAAATGAGTCATCACTTCTATTTATTAATAGCTGTCGTCTTTTGAAAATGGAATTAATGGTAGTGTGTCGTGACTTCTATATATGGCCATAAACATAATACATAATAAATATATTTTTGTTGCGTACAAAAAATAGAAAAGAGCAAAACAAACACCAAAATTTCAACCTAAATTTTTGAAATCAAAAGACTATAGCTTTATATATGATTGTTGACTTTAAAATAAAATTTATTCAATTCGACAATATGAAACATTAAAAATGGATCATATTCGAATAATATCATCAAACTTCTTACTGCTTTCAAATGATCTCGAAATTAATTTCTATTATGAAGTGATGAGATTTTGTTAGAATAAATTCAATTCACCTTTTCATTGTGTTTTCGTCGTTCGTTGTTCTACTAATATTATTAACATCAATGAACAACTATTTAATTGTTTACTGTTAAAAGAATTATCTATTACTATGGATACATTCAATATTTTTCGTATAATCAATATATAAGAAAAAAAATTCAACTTTTGATGTTTATTCTGTCAACATCAATGCAACTTTTTTATGTATTTTACACTTTTTTCTTTTTCTATTAAAAACTGATACCAAAAAGAGACCCGAAACGAAACATGAAAGAATTACAAAAGTGTACACTACAAACATTCTCATTGACATAGATTTAATTTTTCGAATTAACTTCTATATGTAATATGAAAAAATTTTTGTATTAGAGAATACTTGAAAATTCACGAAATGTAAGAGTTTGTAAACAATAAAGTGATTTATTATTATGACATAAAAAATAGTTATTCTGAAACAAAAATTATTTTCTAACAAGTACTAATTTTCGGTCATTTTTTAATATAAATTAGTTCATTTTACGATCAACATGTTGGAACATTTTCTTTTTTTTCTCTACTAAATGAAATATTCTCTTCATTTTGATCATATCTGAGTTTATCAAGCCTATCGAATAAAAAGATACAATTCATCTGCAACAGAGCCACGAGGGTTAACTAGACTCAAGCATACCCTAGATTCACCCTTCATAAGCTAGAGGAAAGGCACAAACGCTTTCATTTCTCCTTTGATCAGATCGATAGATGTGAGTAGCGCATTACATTTCTTGTACAAATGTCAATATTTTTTGTCGTTCTCGACGGATAATAATAACATTTTCTTCGTCAAATAGACTTAGAAAACGTTATTGAGGAAATATTCAGTTTTATATAAGTAAATATGACATTATACAACGGCAAAAAATTGAAATGAGGATCCTTCATTACAAGTGAAGAAAAATTATACGGAAAATCTCAGCTAGATTAACTAGAATCTATCAAAATCTTTATTCGCCTTCGGCGACTAACATCACATGCTTATTAATCATTTTCAACAGTAAACAAAATCAAAGTGCAATGACGGTTTTTTTTTTGTGTGTTAATCTTTCTGCTTCGTCATTAATGCTTTATTTTCCAGTAAAACAGATAGAAAATTTGTCTTTCAAAGGTCGTATTTCAATAAACATAAACATTCGCACGTTTCTTTACGTAAGTTGCAAATTTTTTTCTGATCTGTACTACTATTATAAAAGAAGTACTAACTGTAGTGTCATTAAAATAGCATGGAAAAACTTGTCTCGTGTCATTTTTAATTTCAAGATGTGAATCTCATAAAAGAACTTTGAGCTTATCCTTGAATCAAAACATTCCGCTGTCTATGATACAATGAACAACAATGCATAAATTTTGATAAAAAAAAATCATTAGAATACAACTTTTCAATTTTTTTCATGATTTCTAATTGAAAACATATTTTTGACATTTTTCCTATCGATCAGTCATTAATATCGTCTAAGCTCTCTGATAGGATTTTTTCAAACAAAATGTTTGTTCGTTTCTAAGCGACCTCTATCGTCATTTATCGTCTATACGAAAATCTTAAGATCCAAAATAAAGGTTTCAAGAACATAAAATAATTGGTAGAAAATTTGGCAACATTGAATATGTACTTGTCTTCCTGTTTTTTTACCAGTGTGAAGATAGCCTGACGACCAATCGGATGCGCTCCACTCATCCCCCAATCATTA